TGGCCCCCACCAGTTATAGATGCAAAGCAGAGGTTTGCTTTACAACCCTTTAAAGGCTCAGGTTGGTTTGTTGGAGGTGTGTGATGGTGAAAGGGGGGCACTCCCCACGGACTCCATAACTCATCCATTTCTACCATGTCCTTAGGCTTGGAAACATTCCTTCTCCTGCAGAGAGCAGTACAATGCAGATTTAGTGCAGCTACACACGTCACCTGCACAGGGAACTTCCAGGACTTGTGAGCAGGTGGGAAGAGGAAATATGGACCACTAATTAAATTTAAAAAGTTCTGATAACTGGATGGAGTAGATGATGCATATGGTGTGTTTCAACCTTTCATCCAGGTGTTTCTGCTACAGAGAACTGCAGAGCTGAGAGTTGGGAAGTTGTTGGTTTGGTCATTGCAATTTTAGAAAAGGAAAGATAATGGATGACAAAAACTTGGGAGTATTTGTTGTGTGCAGAATGAGATTGTTTTCATAATGCAAATAGAGGCTTTCAAATGGGCAGTGTGTGAAAGATGTTTGTTTCCTGGTTTTATTTGCATGTAACTCATGGGAAGAGACCATACTGCTTTGTCTTTCCTTGGGATGGTATTTATTTTTCCAAATGATGGCATGGATGCAATAATTATCTGGGAATGCCTATACTGTGAGATGCTTGGATTTTAATCATAATCAATTGGATTCACAAACAGCTTTATTCTAGAAGTCCTTAGGCTTCAAATTTGTAAGCACTTATGTGCTATTTCTTACATATATGTGGAGTCATATGCTTAAATGCTGAGGTTTGGTGTTGGTTCGGGGTTTCTGGGGGTTTTGGAGAGTGCAAAGGGACAGGTAGTCTTCCAGGGAACAGGAAAGTCTCTGTTCAACTCTTCCATTCCTTGTTTTCATGTTGTTGTTTACAAATTGTTTCTGCTGAAAGGAGCCATTACTTTAAAAAGTGTAAATGTTCTGCTTCAGTGTTTTCAGAATATAATATTATGGAAATGCTGAAACAGCTTGACATTTTTGAAATTCAGTGATGACTTGGTCTAAATTTAGAATGAATAACAAACAACCTCCTCTTTCTGCTGTCCATTCCCATTTCTACCAAAATCCTCCCTAAGAAAAAAAATCCAGCAAGGTTTTGATATGGTTAAATAACCTAAAGAGAGAACTTTTGGAGGCATTGGAGATATTTTTCACTTCAAAAAGCCATTAAACAATTGAAACTTTTTAATAACATGTTTTGAGCCGATGGCAAATGGAATTTCCTTGATTTCTCAGTTTTGTGCTGAAGACTTGGCTATTTGCCCAGCTGTGGTCATTGTCAGGTGGAAATGAAACACTTCAGTAAAAGGTTTTGCAAACTTGATTACTGTGCAATTCTGCTACTGTGAGGGGCACCATTAAAACTGAGAAGTTTTGTACTTTTAGGCAGATGGGGGCAAGATTTTCTAGACTTGGGAGAAGAGCTTAAACGAGACGATGTACAAGAGACATCAAATTTGACATTTCATGTCAGTTCATTACTTACCTTTAGAGGCATGTAGAAGTTTAGTTAAGCCTCAAACACCTTTTTTTCCTATTTGTTAGCTAGAATAAAAGTGCCACACTCAAAAAATGTGGGCCCTAAAGTAAATTACCTGAAGCTCCTATGCAAACCACTCTTAACATGACTTATTTTGAACTTCTAAGCTTTAGTAATAATTTTAACTCTCATAAAAAAAATTAATTCACTTCCTTTTAATTTTAAGATTAGGCACTTATGAGCAACTCTTCAGTAATAAACCTCTATGTGCAGCAAATATTAGTTAACAAAACATTCTACTTTAGAATAGCTCTATGATAAAAAGCCAGTTCATCTGAAAAGTGTCATCTCAGTGATGAAGTGCAAACACCTTGTTTTGCAGGAAGGAGGCAAACATATTGTTGGTTTTGGCCATGGCATGACTATTATTAGTAGTATACCTTTTAAAATAATCATAGTATGTTTTGGTGCTTGAGGGGATGCAGGGAAAGCCTGCTGAAACACTGTGCTTCAGTGGCTTCTTATTTTCCAGTCATCTCTCTCCTCCTTCAATGATTGCCCAGCCCTTTAAATGCTCTGTCATAGTGCTCTATTACTTCTTCCTTTATCATGTTATTTCCTGTGACACTTGTGACTGGAATTGGGCTCCAAATCTAGTGCACTTAACATGAGTCCCCTCAGAGCCAGGCTGTGCACAGGGCAGTGGGGTGCGATGGACGTGCTGCCTTGAAACAAAATCTACCCACGCCCAGACTGCAAATATGGAACAGTGTGGTTATGCCTCAAAATAATGGTCACAATTATTTGTGTTGAAAATTTCCCACACCATACAATTCTCTTCCTCACCATAATAAACATCTTGAACCTCAGTTTGGGGTTTTATTTTATCATGTCAACAAGTTCTGGGCCATAAAACTGAGGAGGTGCCAAAATCTTACACAGCAGAAGATCCTAATGTTCCTGTCTAATGTGACACTTAGGCTCTAAATGCTGAGCTTGTGGTGGTTTGCCTCACGTAAGGAATTGTTTTTCACTAAATGGGGACCAGAGGAGAAGGCTGTGCTGTCTGTCACTGACAAAATGCTGTCAGATGCCTCCTGGCTCTTGGTGCAAGTTGACGTCAAAACAGTAAATATTCCAGTGAGAGCAGACATGAGCACAGAGAAAAGAATGAAAGGCGGGGGAATGAAGGTCCTCCAGGTTTGGAGAAGGCTTTTTTTATTTAACATGGAATACAGGCATTGCCTAATAGCAAAAATTTTTGACAGAAGCAGTAGGGAGGTGTCCTGCTGTGGTGCTGCCACACCAGGTGGCTGTGCTGGAGGACAATATCCAGGTTGTTATACCTTCACCTCCTTCCTTGCCAGTCTGCTCCACATGGAGCTGAGATTGAAATGGCTGTTCTAGAGGGAATTCAGCAGCAGCTGCTAAAACTTCCAGCCTTGGGGAGCCCAGAATCACAGCTGTGGTAAGGCACGGCCAGTTCACCAGCTGGGCTGGTGGGTAGATGCAGGCCCCTGGTTTCTGCTGAGAGAGCCACAGTTGTGTTCCTTGCAGTTAACTCACTATAGCTGCTCTGCTTGGTGCCCTCTGGGGTGCTGCTGGCCTCTGGCAGAATCATCTCAAGATTTGGAATCCATTTTTTAAGAAAATAAATTTTGAAAGGATCATTCTAACATTAACAAAAGCAAGGAGAAATGTTGATGATGGGGGAAATATCTGGTTCCAGGTCAAGATGCACTGGTCTTCCAGGAAGAGTTTATGGATGGATCCAGTGCTGATCCATGACTCAGGGAGGGTGTTTGTGGAGGAAAGGGCAAGAGGGGAGGCCGCAGCTCTGAACCAGTGCCAGCTCGCTGGTATTTTCAGCTCTTGCTGACAAGGCTGTGATCTCTGTAGGAGCCACATGTGGGTCGCTCCCCTCCCTCCTGCCTACACAACAGGAAAATGACTGCAGCAGTGTCCTGGGGATGGAGAGCCATGGCAGTGGGAGCAGCTGCCCAGGCCTGCGCGGGGGCGNTGGCTCCAGCTCCACACGGGAGGAGCTGAGGTGTCACCCCAGCCACCGCCGGCAGATTGATGGTGAGGGCTAACCTCAGCTCCAGGGAAAAGATGCCTTTTTCCTTTCTGAGTGCTCTTTTTTTAACCTGGCTGTAGTGGAACTGGACAGCCCAACATCCCTAGGGCCGCGGTTCACAGTTCCTGCACAGTGACACGGCTGCCAGGCCACGTGTGCTCCATGAGGGCCCAGTAAAACCAGTCTGTGCTGATGGGTTGGGCTGGGCACACAAGCCCTGTGCGTGGTAGAGATGGCTCGCTGTGCTTCCAGGCCAAATTATAACCACATTACAGACCATGCACTTCTTACTGAAATCAAGTCCAGTTTGAGTCTTTATGCTGGAACAGAATGAATAACCACATCTTTGGGGAGTGTGGGCCAGCCAATGGCTTAAAAACCAAAGCAATAAAAGAACCACAACCCGAAACATAGCCAAAGAGCTCTAAACCAACTCTGCTTTGTGTCCAGAGACTGAAACATAATTTGATGTGACTTGCTCAAAATCCCTTCATGGTGTGGGCAGCTAGAGCCATTGGGTATTGTGTTTACTTGTCTATAGAACATGTTTCTGTTGTGTCCTGGCACTGTGTGCTGCTGCTTGTTTAAACACGCCTGGGAGGAGAGCCAGTGAGAAAACACTCTTTGAATAAATAAATGTAGTTGTAAAATTGAACAAACACTCCAGATAGGAACAGTTCAGGATCTTCAGGCTCAAGATGTGATTTGGGGTTTTTTTTATTTGTTTGCTGTGGGTCTCTTTGTTAGGGGTGGGATTTTTGGTGATCTGGGACCTCTTTACCTTCGATGGTGATCAGGAAAATATGCCTAACCATGGATGGAAACAAGCTGAGGGAAAATCCAGACTGAAGCACATTTAGTATCTTGGACTTGTTTTGTTAGATTCAGTGCTGCTGCTTGATAATTTAGTTAAGTAGCAGAAGTATTACTATATTCTTACTTTTTTTTAAGTGGCTTTCAAATTCTTAATATAAATTTTCAAAGCTTCTGAGGAAAGATTAATTTAAAGATTTTATTTTGGTAAAAACAGTTTGCACTCTTTGAAAAGAAACTATTTTAAAACTGACTAATTTTTAGAGCATCCTGGAGTAAATTATCTTGTGCCATTTTTACTGAAATTATGTTATTGAGTACTTCTTATCTATATATACCATCTCTACACATTGATAGCAAGTCTAATGTAAACTACTAATGTATGGTGAAGCTTCTTTCAAAAATTTCCCAACATTTTTCGGGATGAGACTTCAAACCACAGGAATAGAGGTAACATCATGTTTTACCAATTCTAAATTAGGAGGATTGTGAAAATGATTTTGAATCTGTGAAGCCTTCTGCAGTGAAAAGGGTCACTTGTTAGACAAACTTGATTTTTTTTTCTTTGTGGGGTTTTCTTTTTTTATTCCTCTTTAGAATCTGTTCTGATTTTTGCACTTGCTGTGGTACTTTCAAGTAACAGTGTTTGAAGCACTACGGTTTGTTCTATGTTGAACTCACATTTTCCCAAACTGAACTGGATGTAAAAAAAATAGGAACGCTAAGTAGACGAAAATCAGGAGTAGTGTGAAGTCTCTGAAAACAAACAGCTATGCATGACACAGAGCTAGCCAAGTCCAAAAACCAGTGCAAGACTTAAAGCTGGATCACAAGGTTTTGGAGCTGCAAAATTCCATCCAATTTTCTCCTGCTGCACCCACAGGAAGGGGTTGGGTGTTGCATGTTGTCACAACCACATGGGGAGAGCAGAGGCCAGGTCTTCATGTGCAACATGAAGAAATAACAACCTGGGAAATGAAGCGAGGAATAAGTGAAGAAAAGCATTATGTGTATCACTGGTAGTGAATGGTCATCAAAATGCAAAATCCAACCAGGCAGCTTGGTTTCCCCATAGCTAAGCATTCTCCTTAGCATTTTGAATAAATAAAGAAAAAATGTAAATTCCCTGCCCATAAAGAGCACCTTATTCTAAGAATGAGAACACCTAGGTCATCTGACAGTTGGAGCTGGAAGGTCTCCAACCCAATTGGTGTCTCTCCTGTGGAGTGTAGCTCTGCTACAATACAGTGTGTTTTGGAAATAGTTCTTGATTAACAGTGTTTGGTGGAGTGGAAGCAAAAATAATTAGAAAATATTTTAAAGCTCTCTCTGAATATAATCCATGGGCAATGATTTTTAACAAGCTGTCAGCTTCAACCATCTCATAGATGACTCAGACAAGGGTAAGTTCAAGGGTAGTGATATCACTGCAGCATCTGGTTCTGCTGTTAGAACGAGGAGGAGCTTGCTCCGTCTTTAAACAAGCATGTGCTTTTCCCTGGGAGCTGTAACTTGTCTCTTCAGCTTCTTTTGAATGAGCACAAAGAGGCATTTAGCATGCGACCCTCAGGTGGTGAAAATAAAATCATGTCTGTGCTGATTCATCTCAAATACACATGTACCTTAGCCCATGGTTTGGGCTTTGCAGAAGCCCTGTCATGACTCAGGTGGTGTTTCTGTGCACACAGGTTTAGGCACTCGTGGACAACTCTACATGTGTGTGTATGTACAGCTCTGAAGTCTGAAGCTGTATTTTTGAAAAAGTAAAGGTTTTATCCCAGAGCAATCATAGAGAGTGGTCAAAGCTGGTCTGTGTATTCTGGTAGAAGAAGAGGAAGCCAAGGAAACATCCATACCTGTGAGGGTCCTCAGCCATAAGATTTGGATATAATTCCATCTTTCTGCACCCTGACTGCTTCTAGGAGCAACTGATTACTCTTATGTAGCTTGAGTGTAGAAGGCTCTTACTATGACTTGAAGTGCTGTGAAGCCTCATACTATGCATCAGAAGTATGCTTTCCTCTCACACTCTTTCTATAGGCTGAGTAGCTTTGGTTGATCCTGATTTGGTGAGTGTTGGCTTTTTCTGCTTCATTCCCCTTCTAAAAGATTCTGTGGGTGCAAGTGTTAACCAGCTGGTTGTGAGGGCCTGTGTGAGTGGGTGCTGCACGCTGGTGCCTTTCAACACAAGCATGAGTGTGCACAAGAGGAGATGCTCTTGTCATGAAACATTGACAGGAGACACAGTGAGGCTGCCTGGGGAAACAGCTGCCAGAGATATTGTGGTTGTATCACCAATGCCCAGTATGAGATCCTGGGAGATGCTGAGCTCTATAGAGTTTCTGCCTTGCATGCAATTTCCATTTGCACTTGGTTTTATTTATACATCCCATTTCACGGTGGCTGCCACATAATAAAGGTTTAGTTTCCTATGCTATTCTGTGGTATTTGAAGTAATTTGATGCCTGCTCATATTTTTATTTATTCCATTGATTACTGTTTCTCAGAGTTGTGTGGACTGAGTATCTGCCTAAACCCACCAGGTTATACTTGATCCTGTGGGCATCCTGGCTTATTGTGTATGAGATTGCATAAGGTTGATTTGTGGATTGTGTATTGTTTGGTCTACAGAACAAACACTGTGCAATTATGGAAATAGATTAATTCATCTGCCTTTTCTCCTTGCAAGGCTGTAATATTGTGGCAGTTCTTCTTCTGTCTCATGCAACAACTCTGTAGTCTCTAACACTGCCTGGTCATAAAGGGCTTTAAACACAGAAATCTGCTCTTCAAACTAGCTTTTAGCAGCCTAGAGCATAAGAGTACTTTCAAATATGCAGGACTGTAGTTACATGGTTATATATCTGTTTTTTATGCCTATGCTGGGAGGGAACTACCAGCTGCTGATTCTGTAAATGGTTCCAAGCAGGCCTAGGATGCTCCTGTTATTAGTACCTGGCTCAAAATTAGATGTCTTCATACAGTGACCTATGACTTGTATGCTCTGCCATATTTTTACCTTCAGAGACAAGTATAAGAAGCTGTGTCTAAAGGTTTCCAAGAGGGCTTAGTCACTGGAGTGCTTGAATGGAGCCCTGCTGACATTTGTTCTGCTTTTTTTTCCAAGGCAGAAGACACGTTACCTTCAGCCAAGCAAGCCTCTGGCTTATTCTCCACCTGTTTCATTCCCATGTAAAGTAACTAACTACTTCAATAACTCTGGCAAAGCAGCCTGAGGGGAGCTAAACTACTGAGAAAATGACCCCTAAAATTCCTCTCCATTTCTGGATCCTGCAAATACAAACACTAAGAATCTGTTGGAAGATGTGCAGGTTGGTTACTCTTCTCTAGTAATATCCAGATTAACTTTCATGCTCTGATCTTACTCTGAGAGATCAGAGCATGGAAGTTAATTAAGAAAATGGAAGTCTCTAAGAAAATTAGAGACTCATTTCTCACCTTCTCTGCAATCTTCTGCTTGCCCAGCTCTTGCTCTGCCTGTTGCCAGTTGAGGCTGTAAGCATTTGAGGCACAGTTTGTCCACATGATGTGTTTGTGTAACACCCTGGCCTGTGGTTACATGTCCACATCTGTGCCCAATCTGCAGAGGATATTGGCCTGTTATAGCTCCCAGCTGCTGGCCTGGCTTCCCACCTCAAGCTGCAAAGAATCCTGCTTTTATTGCTCTGCTGGTCCCTGTTTCAACCCCGGTACTTGCCAAGATGGCATCTGCCATATTTGTACAGAGCAGGACAAAACTGGCCCTGATAACTGCAAGAAATGTTATGGCAATTAAAGTAAGAAGAAAAGCAGAAAGTGAGAGTGCAGTGGGAGGCCTGACCTTGCCGTAAGTCACTGATGGGAGTGTGCATACTCTGCTCTGCCAAGTGGTAGTTTTCCAGCTTCCTTCACTACTCTCTTTCTTCCCCCCTTATCAGCGTTATGCTGCACCTATAGGAATTCCCTCCCCTTGCCTCTGATGCTTTCAGACATCAGCTCATCCCCAGCCCCTTCTGATGGGCAGCTCCTTTTATGTTTGCTCTCTCAGCCTTACCATTTCAACAGAGCAGAATGCCGGTGTTGGTTTTCTCACTGGGAGTGACTCAGAGAGGGGATTTGTGTGTGGCTGGGTGCCAGGGAAGAAAACACACTGTCAAAGTACATTAGTGCAGTGCCAAGCCCTTTCTGGGCACAGTAACTTTCCTCTCAAGGCTGCTGCTTGCCAGGAGGGGCAGACACACTGAACAGGGGAGAAGAAGAAAAATGGGAGAAGCTCACGCTCAAAACTGACCTGGCAAACTTGGATAACTACCTGCCTGGTTCTGGCATTTAGAAGGTGCTTCTCTTGAAAATAAATAAAGGTCTTAAGTGTTGTCTGATGATTATTCATGTCCCACCTGGTAAACGCTGTGCTTGCAGATTTAATAAAAAATACCTTTATTATCTTGCTCATGTACAGTTGTGTTGTGTCCTGGAATTGCTTCAGATGGAAGATAGGTTATATTACCCAGATGAGAAAAATATATATTATAGCAGTAAAAGGCTGTTTCTCTGAGTCCAGTTCTGTGCTCCTGTCACACACCCTTTGAAGTTCCTGAGTGGGTGGATGGGAATAGGAGGAAGGGAATGGAGGCTGGAAGCAAAGTGACCTGCAGGACAACGGAAGCATGGGAATTTGCTTGGTGTTTGTGACAGGTTTTTATCCTCTCTGTGTGCAAGTTCCACATTCAGAACCAACTGCTGGGATGTTAATTATGTTCTACTGTTGTGTAATGTGGTGCAGCTTCTTACTGGGAGATGTGTATTTAAAGAGCAAGGTCATTCATCTTGGAATCATATGGACACCTGGTCTGACCTGCTGGAGGACCGGAGGTCAGTGAATTATGGGGAAGCATAGCTGAGTTTAATACTGAGCTTGCTTTGGGATTAGTCCATTCAAATTCAGGTCTTGGCACTCAGGCCAAATTCAGGTACCCTTGTAAACACTGATGAGTGCCTTCCCTTCTCAGGCAAGGGTGTGTTCTGTGTGTGTGACATGGCCAAGCCTCCCACCTGCACAAAATACACACCAGGGACATCACTGACAGCCCCAAATGAACAGTCATCAGGAAAAGGACATGTTTCTGGAATAGGACTAACTTGTATTTCCAAAGATATCATTTGTGGTGTTTACAGATGTGAGAAAGAGAAGGCCAGGAAAGAGAAGATGATATTTTTCACTGAGCCCTGCTGGGAAAGAGACAGGGAGAAAAATGGGACTGTTCATAAGTGTGTTACAGCTCACAGGCAGCAGAAGAGAGGCTTTATGCTCCAGCTGAGGTTTTCTTCTCACCAGCAACATGGAGACATATAACCTTGAACCAGTTGATGAACCTGAGCTTGCACATCTTCAGAAAACCATTTTCTAACATTTGCCAGCTTCAGGAATGAAGAAGCTGAATTATGTTTTCAAAGTTCTTAAAAATCCTAAGGAGGGAAACTGCTATGAACATTCCTAAATAGAGAGTGCTTTGGTGGGGAATGTGTGTGAAATTGCTTTGCTTAGGCTTAAAGAAAACATAATGACAGGGAATCTGTTTTTTCCAGAGGAGTAGAAAAAGAAAGCCATTTTAGTACCAATGGGTGTTAGTGGTGTAGACTGTGAGCTACCAATGGTGTCCGTGAAAGGTGACTGAGGAGCTGAAGAGAGGGATGACTTCACTTGACTACAAAGTGTTCAGGACCCTTCTGCAAGAGTAGAAGGGATGGGGTGTGTGCCAGCTTGGAGGAGATGTCCTCTCAGGGAGACAAGGGATGCTCCACACTAAGCCAGCAGGCTGGGGGCAAGAGTGGGACTGACACGACAAAAGAATCCATGCATAAGCACTGCAGATTCTTATAGATCAAGAGAAGCATAATAATTGCAAATAGCAGATTCTCAGTTGCTTCACACAGCTGTGAATACTTGTCTCTGAAACCAACTATGAGA